AGGACATTTCCTGTTTGCGGCTTTTGCACTTATTTTACCCTCTGCCTGAAATGTTTTCCTGGGCTCTTTGCATTGATTGTTCTTATCCTTTAGTTCTCAACTCAGTGCCACCTCTCAGAGAGCCTCCCACCTACTAGCTGACTTAGTATATTCCCCTTTAATTTTCTTCATAGAACTTGCCAAATATGAAATGATCTGTTTTATTCATTTGCTTATTTGAGAGCATAAAAATGTCTCTTGAAGGCTGAGGCCTTGATGATCTTGCTTATCACTATATAGAACCTAAAATACTGTGTCTAACTCTAGTAGATATTCAGTATGAATGAATGAATGAATGAATAAATGAATGAATACTGGATGAATAACCAAATTTAACTGGCTAATTCCATGCCTCTTAATTGTCTTCCTCAGTAGGTCTTCCTCTAATTGACAGCCTGATTCGTGTCTTACAAAATATGGAACATTGTCAGAAGAAACCAGAGAACTCAGCAGAGTCTAACACAGAGGAAACTAAAAAATCTGATTTAACCCAAGATGATTTCCACTTGAAAATCTTAAAGGATACTTCGAGTGAATTTCTTTCTAATATCTTTCAGACATTAACAAAGGTAAGAAGTATTAATGGTTTTTCAGCAAAAGGAAGTATGGATTGCTCCCAACTTTATTACTGTTATTATATTTTTAATATAAAAGTGGTGTAACTATTACATAAAATTGAGGAAATAGAAAAAGAAAAAACTTATCACTATAAGTTTATAGTCTTAAACCAGCAACTGATGTGGTTTAGTATATTTAGTATATGTGCTGCCAAAGCAAGCACGGGGTTTAGTATATTTATATATGTGGTTTTTTTTGGTTTTTTTTTGTTTTTTTTTTGTTTTTTTTTTTTAGAGGGCAGTGTCACTGGCCCTCATATGTGGGATCCGAACCGGGGCCCTCTGGCATCCCAAGCCAGCCCCCAACCAACGCGCCACTCGGCCGGCCCTATATATGTGTTTTTTACATACTTATAACCCAGTATATATTATTTTTATAGACTGCTCCTTTTACTTAACAGTACTGTGTAAGCACTTGTCCTCACTTTAGATTGATTCACTGAAAGATTTTTCACTCAGACCCAGTTTAGTACCCAATTGGCCAAAAAATCAATTTTTAAAATTTTTTGTAAACTTGTTTTAAGGACGATTATTCTTCCTGAATATGTTCAGGATTATTAGCATATTCTTTCTTTGAGCATACCCTTTCTATCCATATATTCTAGGGAAGAAAAATGAGTATAACTGAAGAATACATTCGGATTCATTGAATTGTTTTCAAGAAGAATATTCCTTAAAACAGATTTCTGTTATTCTGGTGATTTGTTTTTTTGGT